TGATCAGAATTTCAAAATCAGCCTTGGCTACCTAGTGAGTCTGGGGGTCAGCATGAACTACGTGAGTTCTCCAAAAATAAATAAGGGGCAAGAGAAGTAGCACAGATGGTAGAGTGCTTGCCTAGCATTCAGGAAGTCCTGAGTTCAATCCCCGACCCCGCGTACACTCGGCATGGTGGTATGCACCTGTAACATCAGCACCCAGAAGGTAGAGATCCTAGAATTGGGAATTTGAGGCTATCCTTGACTAGTCTGCTAGTTTGAGGTGAGCTTGGGATACAAGGGAATCTTAAAAAATAAAATAAAAAGACCAACAGTAGCGTAGAAGAGCAAATCTCTAAGGTGTTTACTATCAAATTTCAAGGGACCTCAAAGTTTCAGGATTAGAGTGGTATCACTGAAACAAGACAAACACTCTTAAAGAATAAAATAGACAGACCATTAAATTCTAGGTCAATAGCAAAGATCAGGAAGTCTCCATGTGCTCACCTCCTTCAAAGAGGGGACCAGATGCATTGACTAGCACAGTGGACAGCTCCTTCAATGGTTCCCACCTGGAGAGCTATTAAGTAATGGTAAGGGCCTGCCACTTGGGGCACACAGTGCACTTGGGCCTCTGGAGCACTTCAACTGCTTTGGCTCCAATTTTTCTCTGATAGGATGGCCCCTGGAGTAGAAAAAGGAAGCCATCTGTTAGAGAACATCCCAGGAGAAGGAGAGATTCAGAGCACACCACTATGGGGGTGGATGGAAGGCATTATTGACTAAACTGGGGGAACTGTGGGTACTGAGGAAGAAGAAGCTGAAAAAAATGGAAGCATGATGAAAGTGTTCAAGAGGAATGTCTGAGAGTCATAGAGATGCTGTGTTGGAGTGAGGAATTTCTTCCTCTGCAGGGAGGGATGCTTAGAGGTCAGTCAAATTGCAAGGAAGGATGCCTGAGAAGCCACTTGCTGAGATGGCAGACAGCCACTTACTGAGGACACCAGCTGCCAGGCCAGCTCCAGGCCTCCTTCTGTCCTTCCTACCTCTTGTGGCTGTGTTTGAAATACGTATGGAGGGGGTGGGGGATAGATTTTTACCACAGTGACATATAAAAGTCTCTTAGATAGATTCAGCTGTTAACTTGACACAGCCTAGAGTCATCTGAGGAAGCCTGAATTGCAGAATTTCCTTAATCAGATTAGCCTGTGGGCATGTCATTTTTTTAAATTGCTAATTGATGTAGGAAAGTCCAGACCACTGAGGTTGGTGCCATCTTTTGACAGATAGTCTCTGGGGGTATAAGGAATCTGGGTGAGCATGAGCCAGAGAGAGCAAGCCAGTAAGGAGTATTCCTCTATAGTTTCTGCTTCAATCTCCTGCCTTGAATTCCCGACTTGGCTTCTCTTGACAAAGGCCCATACACTGTAAGAGGGAGTAAACCCTCTCCACCCAAAATTGGTTTTGGCCATGATGTTTATCATGCAACAGAAACCTAGCTAGGATAAATAGGTCAGTTGTAACATTATGAAATGCTTCTCCCATTGCTAGCATATGACTCAAAAATCCTTGTAGTGTCTAGAATGATAAAAGCAATAGTGGGAGGCTGTGGTGGTACTATGTTCCCCAAAATATTGTGTACCCTCATAAACTTATCTGGAGTCAGAGAACAGAACAACCACTAGATATAGAGGCCAGAAAATTGTGGCACACATGCCTTTAATCCTAGCATTCCAGAGGCAGAGATCCACCTGGATCTCTGTGAGTTCAAGGCCACACTGGAAACAGCCAGGCATGGTAAAACAGCCTTTAATCCCAGGAAGTGATGGCAGAAAGCAGGAAAGTATATAAGGTGTGAGGACCAGGAACTAGGCCTGGTTAAGCTTTTAGGCTTTTGAGCAGCAGTTCAGCTGAGAGTCATTCTGGATGAGGACTCAGAGGCTTCCAGTCTGAGGAAACAGGATCACTTGAAGAATTGGCAAGGTGAGGTGGCTGTGGTTTGTTCTGTTTCTCTGATCTTCTACCATTCACCCCAATACCAGGCCCTGGGTTTGTTTCTATTGATAAGACCTTTTAAGATTCGTGCTACAGGGAGGCAGATAAGAGAAGGTAATGGAGGTGGATATGATCAGGATACAAATATGTATGGTAGATTAATAATGAAACTCATTTTCTCTAATTATTTATAATTACTACATTCTACCAAAATACATTTTGAAAATGTCTTTTGTATGCTAATGAAATGACTGATGTCTGTAGTTCTCTAGGTAGCTTCAAAGTGGGGGCTGGTCACAAAAAAGATCAAGATACCATTGGATGGTTAGGACATTCAGCCCCACCTCCAGCCTCTAGGGAATGGAGATCAGAGAAGAGCCAAAGTTGGGTTATTCATCAATGACAAATGATGCCTATATCATTGCTATGCCTACAAAATAGAGCTTCCATAAGAACCCAAAAGAAATGTGTCCTGAGGACTTCCAAATAGATAGATGTGTGAAATTTAAAGATGGATATCTGGCTTCAGAAAGCACAGTAGTTCCAACATTCCTCACATTCTTGGTTCCATGCTGCTCACCCATCTGTCTTTGCACTAAATCCATTGTAATATCCTTTAAAACCAATGGGTAGTCACAGGTGAAATGTTCTCTTGTGTTCTCTGAGCCACTTTAGCAAATTATTCAAGCCTGTAATGGTGTCTTAGCTTTCTATTGCTGTGATAAAACTCCATGACCAAAACCAAAGCAGGAGCCTGGAGGCTGGAACTAAAGCAGAGACTATGGAGGGCTTCGCTTACTGGCTTGCTTCTTCTGATTTACTCAGTTTGCTCTCCTGTACCCCTCAGGATCACCTCTCCAGGCAGGGCACCACCAGCAGTAGGCAGGGCACCACCAGCGGTAGGCAGGGCCTTTTCATACCAATCAGCAATAGAGCAGATGTACCACAGGCTTGCCTACAGGCCAGTTTAATGGGGATGTTTTCAGAATTAAGGTTCTTTTTTTGCAGATAACTCTAGCTTTAGTCAAGTTGACAAAGCAACAATAACAACAACAAACTAACCACCACAGAAGGAGCCATAGGAATCTGGTTTGTGGTTGGTTGGTCACAAACAGACCTGTGTTGTGGGTGCCTCTGAAGTAGGGCTGACTTGGGACTTAAGACCTTACCCGTGGGGTTTGATGCTGTCTCTAGGTAGACAGTCTCGACATTAGATTGAATTAGGAGACAGAAGCTAGCATTTGCTGCAGAAATGCATGCTTTCTGGACCTGTGGGGAAAACCCCAATATATCCATATGAGAATCGATAGTTGGAATATGAACATGGGAAAATCTCTTTAATGAACTTTTCTTTCCCACTCACATCAGTCAGAGTGATTTGGTGCTGCTTAACCTCTTCTCATTCAGAGAGTCCGTACTCTTGTGGATGCTAGCAGAGATCCCTATATACTGTGACCTGTCTAGTATAACCATGATGACAAGGTATGGAAAACACTTCTTGGATTTCTTCATGCTATCTCCAAGACAACTTATCTAGTGGTCTAGTGACACAGAGAAATGACAAAACACACCCTTCAAGGCCTCTGGTGAGCCACATTGATGTGTTCTTATTCTTCAGGAACTGGACAGATTCATTTCATTCTGCCAAGCTGTCAGGTAGATCCTTGAACCTCTTTGAAAACCAGAGGGTAAAAAAATGAAACTATTTCACATTGACTAAAATATCTTCAGTTTGCAACTTATACTTAGAGTGGAAAGGGGTGACAATGAAATTCATCAAAATGGATTCATTCCTGCTCATAATGAAAGCTTAGTTAAGTAGGAAAAGTACAAAATTGAGTTGACTTTTGAAGACTGCACTAAGTGGAAGAACTACTCTCTTATCCCTTTGTGAACCAGGATACTACATCTCCATACTGGTAAGCTCAGTCACATTGTGTTCAATCCCAATTAACTTGCCTATTCTGATCATTATTGGATTTAAACCAAATCACCCAATAGTGATGACTGAATATGTGGCCCAGGGAATTTATTAAATAAATCTCTCCTTCTTGTTTTCCTTCTCAGCGAGTCCATCAGTAACCACAGTTGATTTTTCTGTCATCTTGGGCAAAACCATTTCATGTCTCAGTTCTTGAAAAAAAATTGAATTTATTGTGCACTTTGTTTATGTCTTATAGCTTAAATGTAAATGCCCCCCATAGGCTCATGTGTTTGAACTCTTGGTCCTCAGCTGGTGGTATTTTTTTGGAAGATTGTGAAACCTTCAGTGGGTTGAGCATTACTAGAGGAAGGCTGTCAGTGACAGAACCTGAGGTTTATAGCCCACTTCCTGTCTTTGTCCTAGGATATCTTTTGTCTAACTTGAGCTTGTACATATTGTCACAACCACTGTGGGGTCATGTGTTCAGAAAGTGCTATTTTCTTGTAACCATCCATTGCCTCTTACAGTCTTTCTATCCCCTTCTTAAACTGTGACTCAAAATAAACTCCTTCTCCTTCAAGTTGCTTCTTATCAATTATTGAGTCACAGCAAAGAGAAAGATAATCAATACACTTATCTTTGTAAATGCTTTTTAAAATAATGAATGAGTCAAGCACTCCTGTAGCTTGCATTTATTGCCTTTGCTGTGACAAAATATCCAATAAGAAAGTAACCCAGAAGAGAAGGGGCTTTATTTGGCTTATAATTCCAGACTTCAGTTCATCAGTGAAGGAAAGTCAAGGCAGGAACTCAAAGCATCATATCCACAGTCAAGAGCAGAGAAAGAATAAATGCATGGTAATTTGTTTGCTTCATTTAGTTTCCTTCTGTCTTATATAGTTCAGGATCCCCCCCCCCCCCGCCTAGGGAATGGCTCCACTCACTATGGCTGGGTCTGTCCACATCAATTAATAATCAAGGTAGTCTCCCACAGACATGCCCATAGGACAACTTGGTCTATATAATTACTTACTAATCTTCTCTTTCCAGGTGATTCTAAGATGTGTCAAATCGAAAGTTCAAACTAACCAACACACCCTGAAAGAAAACATTTTGTGATGCATTTATTTTCCACTGTGATACAACAAGCTTAGAATATGCCATGGACAAGTTTCCCATGACATAATTTATGGTCCTCATTCTCTGAGGCTGTATTATCTTTCTTTATTTTGAAGATTTAGCTGCCTAGAGAATAAACTTTCTTACTTAAGATATGATAATTCATAAAAGTAACTAGAAACTGAGGAAGCATGGACATTGGGACCTTGAGAAAACTTCCTTCCCAGAGTTAGCTGCAGCTCTCAATTCTTGAATAATGTCAAGGAGATCCATCTTGATATTAGTTTCATTGTACCATTTTAATCTCATAGTGGGAGCCACATAGAATGCTGTACTTTTTTGAGTTAGTAATCTAGGATTTGGAGACATTCATGCTGAATTGTTATTGATGTCCTTGTTCATGCAAAGACACTTCCTGGAGTCAATGCCGGTTTAAATGCTTCTTTATCAGGTAACTAAAAGTGGGATCTTTGGACTTGAAGGAAAGTGCTCTTTCTGTTGCCCAGAAGCCAAGTGACAGTGGTGTTAAATGTGACCATAGCCTAAAGCATTGATTATAACTATCCTTCAAGGTGGTAAATCTTTGTCCTTTAAGTTTGGCTTTTGTTTTGTAAACAGCCTGAAGTCATTTAGAACAAATCTTGCATGGAATAAGGAGCACAGTCATGCTGGTGGTGAATACCTCACTCTGGTCAGAAATAAGCAAATACATCAAATAATAAGTGCAGCTTCTCTTTCTTCCATCTCCTCCTTGTGGGGCAGAGCAATGATTTCTGTAAATATGTTGGGCAGGTCAGGTGGGCTGGCCACCCCCTGTCTAGCAGATGCATTATTGTGTCATATCATCAAAGCCCAGGGGCTAGCGGGTTGGTTTTCCATGACTGAAAGACATCAGGTTTAGTCCACAATCTCCTCATGTATCACTCCCCTTTTCCTACAGCTTCATCACCGTCTTCTTAGTGAATGGTGACTCTCTTCTGTGGCAGTCAATGATGGGAAGAAAGTACTCAGGCAGAGGCAGGCTAACTAATATGTGTTTCAGGGTCCCAGAGGTTACTTAATATTAGTGTTCATGTCCCAGAGGAGACGACTTAATCAGATGACACAGATAGGTGCAAAGGAGGCTGGCAAATGTAATCTAGTGTCATCCTCAGAGTGTCTGGTTTATCCCCTGATCTTTGCTCCAGAAAACTCTATTTCCCAGATTCCCTTGTTCCTTGGATGTGGGTGATGGCATGGTAGCATTGGATGACAGGAACAGGATAGAAGGGCATGAAGTTGTTCTATTCCCTACTTTAGCTGTGTTTTCTCGACTGCTTACGCTCCATTGTCCTGGCTCTCCCACACCATAACTCTCAGGAGTTTAGTTTGCTGGCTTACGATGACACTGTCTCCTTTTATCCCTTTCAACCTAGAGGTAAGGATATTTGATGTGAGTGGTTTCTGGATTACCTCACTTCATATCTGCCTATTCAGCTAGTCCATCTCTTCTGAAACTAAGTCCCTGTGTTAATCCCCTCTCTTCGAAATGCTCAACATGTGGGTAGCAAGATGGCTTGGCAGGTAAAGGTGCCTGTGGTCAAGCCAGATGATCTGTGTTCAATACCCAGGAAGGAGAGAACCCATTCCCATATGTTGTATTCTGATTCCCACATGAATACCATTGTGCTAGCTAGTTTGTATATCAAGTTGACATGACCTAGAGTCATTTTGGAAGAGGGAATTTCAATTCAGAAAATGCTCTCACTAGATTGGCCTGTGATGTATTTTCTTGAGTGGTGATTGATGTGAGAAGGTCCAAGTCACTGTAGATAGTCCTTTCCTTAGGGTGGTGGCCTTGGGTAGTATAAGAAAGCAGGCCTAGTAGGCCATGAGGAGCAAGCTTGTAAGTAGCATTCCTCTGTGACCTCTATATCACTTCCTGCCTCTAGGTTCTGCCTTGAGTTCTTGGCCTGACTTTCCTGGATAATGAACTACAAGATATAAGATGAAATAAACTTTTTCCTCCCCAAGTTGCTGTTGGTCATGGTATTTTATCTCAGTGATTAAAACCTTAACTAAGACAACCATAATGTATATAGACACACAAAATGCTTTTAACTGTAACTAAAAAAAAATGCCCAACATGGTTTGTATTTATTTTCCTAATTAGATCCTGTTTTAAATACAAAATAAATGAATGTACTTTAAAAAACTAGTTTCTTGTGTGTATGTGTGTGTGTGTGTGTGTGTGTGTATGTGTGTGTTTATAAGTATGTATTTCCATAAACATGTATGCATCTGCATGTAGAGGCCAGAGGTGAACATCAGGAGTCATATACTTTATTTTTTTAGTCAGTCTCTCACTGGAACCTGGAGCTCACCAATTCAGCTAGGCTAACTAGTCAGCAAGCCCCATGGATCTTCTAGCCTCTGCCTCCCAAGTTCTGTGATTCTCAGCATGCACCACTATACCCAGCCCTTTTCATGAACATTGGTAACGGAGCTCAGGCCCTCATTCTTGAGCAGCAAGTGATTTGCTGACTGAGCCACTTTGCCCAGCTCTATAAACCATTTTCATGTATAACAGTTGTTAGCACAGTCCACCCCTCTGTACACCAAATTGCCATGTGTCCCTTTTCCACACACAAATCACAATCCTTGTGCCTTGAGGATAATCCAAAGGAACATACCATTCTGAACTAAAAGCCAAGTGAAGCACTGATCTCCCAGCCTGAATCCTGTCTTCATACCAGGAACCAGTTGAAAAGTCCACGTATGTACACACATCCCAGATATACTGCATTCACAATAGTGGAGTAAGAGCAAGCAGGGCAGTGCAGGAAGCATTCATGCAGACAAGGAGAGACTGGGAAACCCAGAGCCATCACTAGCCAGAGCCAGGAAATCTTGAAAGTTTGACTTTATGAAGATGCTCCACCCTGGAAAAGGAATGAGCAGGCCTTCAAACCATTCAAACGCAGCTCTGATCTAGAGATTCCCTGATGCTGCCACCCAGAGCTCAGGAAACACTCTACCAGTGCCATAGCAACTCAAGCCAACAGGGTTGGTCATTAGATTCTAGAATGGGGAATTCTGCTGCTCCAAAGGCCCACATCTGCTGGAACCCAATTGTCAGCACACACAACCGAGAGAGGCCGGTGTCTCCCTTTCCTCTCTTTTCTAGACCCGTTTCATAAATATTTCAGAGGCAGAACTGAGAAGCCATCTGGAACCTTCCAGGCAAGGGAGGCTGGAAAGTATATGCAGAATGTATGAGAAGGAAAGGTCAGCAGTGGATTGGTTGAGCTGGACGCAGCATAGGGGAGTTGTCTCAATGATAAACTCAATGATCACATCCCAGTGCAGGTCAGACATCTGTGCAGGGGACTGGGAAGGGAGGCTTGGGCAGGACAAGCCCCAGACCACAGCACAGCCCTAAGAACAGCTTGTCTGGACAGATGAGGAGTCTTCCATCCCTACTGTGCTCTGTCACTGTCCATGGTAGTCACAGAACAAATATGGCAGATGAAAGGGAGAGGCAGTTGGAGCTGTCCATAAAGCAGACTTCTTTTACTAGGTTCTAGTCAAGATCAGAGAGACACTCGTTCATGACCACCAACAAAGGAAGAAGTGGGTGGAAAAGGCAAGCAGCTGTTGTTGATTTCAACAGCTCTTAGTGTGATATTCTTACTAGGTGCTTCCCCAAAGGGGGAGTCACAATTACTTTTCTTCACATTAACCACATATACATTTGGTGACTCCCAAATTGCATATTAAATGATTACTAAGAGCACTTCAATAGGTAACTCCAAAGAAGTGGTTGCACAGATGGCTGTGTTTAAACTCAGTGAGTCACAACAAAACAAATAGAGATGTGTGTGAGAGAGATAGAGATAGATAGATAGATAGATAGATAGATAGATAGATAGATAGATATTAAATGATTACTAAGAATGTTTCTTCTTTTTTTGTGAGATAAATGAGATGGCTCCAGAGGTGCCTTGGATGGAATTAGAGTCTGATAAGGCAAACCCTGAAGCCACTAGGCTTTTACAAGGAATTTAATGCATGTCCTTCCTCTGTAAATTGAGTTTTAATATATCCCCAAACATGCCAGGTAGGCAAATCAAATGTGATGGTGGGCAGAGGGAGGCTCTGTCTCGTCATAAACTTCCTTAATCTCAAAAGTATTTGTATACAGTGAATGACAGCAAATAGAGTAATGGCTGCCCAATGCTGAGAGGACCTGACAGCTGTAGACTCAGTACTGAACAAGATATTAATACCACCCCATTAAGGCTTAGGGACTACTGTAGAAGAGGAGGTGGGAAGTATGTAAGAGTCAGAAGATAGGATGAAAAACTTCAAAATGTCATCATCTGGACTCATACAACCATTTCAGTATTAGGTCACAACAACTGGTTACCTGCACCTGGATCATAGAAGACCAGCTCTATGAACAGTCATGGAAGGGGAAGGGTCTCATGGGGCTCTCCCCTTCATTGTTGAATTATGGTTATTGAGAGATTCTAGGACAGGGTGATTCACTGTCTTTAGCCGCTACTGAGCCTACCTGACTTCAATAGGTAACTCCAAAGAAGTGGTCGCACAGATGGCTGTGTTTAAACTCAGTGAGTCACAACAAAACAAATAGAGATGTGTGTGTGTGTGTGTGTGTGTGTGTGTGTGTGTGTGTGTGTGAGAGAGAGAGAGAGAGA